TAAAATGAAAACTGAAAAATTAAAGAATAAAAAATAAAAAAACTATTTCATATTAATAAAATAACTGGTGATTGTTGAATCATAACAGTGATATGCAAACACACTTACTGTAATTCGGTCAAATAAATCATCTTCTGGATCCTTATGCTTTATGAACAGCTTCAGATTCTTGAAAACCTGCGAGTGACAATCACATTAACACACACACAAACACAGCTGATACAATCACGTCACACTGATTGGGTGTCAATACAATGTATCCATTTATAATCATGTGAAGTGGTGTATTATATATCATGAGAGCGCTACATATTAACCACACTGAGAACTCATTAAAGGCAGTGAGAGTTTAAATCAGTTAGCTTAAAAAAAAATAAATAGAAAAAGGTTTTCATTTCTCATTTTCGTTTAGTTTAACAATGCACTAAAATAACTAGTTTTAAATTTTTTAGTCAAGTCACCTTTACTTATATAGCGCTTTATACAATATTGATTTGTCAAAGCAGCTTTACAGTGTCAACAGGAACAGGTTTTATTCAGTTTTATTCAGAGCGCGTGAATGCAGTAATTACACTTGCTCTGATGGCAGCAGGTAGCCTTCCGTTAACTAAGCTAAACATGCTTAAATTAAAATGCCTAAAGCTAAACCTCCCTTGTATTCACATTTCTAAACCTGTTGTCCAACAAAAGAGAATATTATAACCTTTTTACTCCACAACACCAGTCAAATGCTTCCTTCTGTGATCTGATGTGGCTTCTTGTCACAGAATGAGGCAGAAAATATGTTCCATAGGCTACTTTAAAAAGAATACATCGATTAGCAATGGGTTATAAATATACTTAATTATTATGAAAATACCAGAGATGGCTTGAATAACACAGATAAACTATATTGTTGCAGTCGAGTGTTTATTGTCTTTGTTTTATCATTCAAAACGTTTATATGTTCTGTTTAATCAGTCACATAGTAATATAATAGTGATGCCTTTGTCCATATAATGGATTTCCTGGAGGGTCATGAGTTCCGCTACTTCTGGGACTGGATATGTGGATTTTCTGTGCGAGGGCGCCCTCTGGCGTCCAGTATGAATGAAACAGACATCATGTGTTTATAGTGCTAATGGCCAATCCATCATTTTTGGGGAATTTATTTATTTTTTTTTTAATAGGTATTGGTTCAGGCGCCGGAACCGTTTTAAAAGTATCGATTTGGCACCAGTATCGAAAAAAAACGATACCCAACCCTACCGGCATATTGTCAAAGTGTCTAATTCTAACGTTTTGTAATATTTCTATTCAAAATCGCGATTCCTCGATTTTCCTAAAATATAAAATCGTTGCAAAACATCAAAAATTCGAATTAACCAGTAAAATCTGAAAACTCGCCCAGCCCTGCGTCTGACCTGTTTCTCCACAGGCACTTTGTTGTAGTAGCGGATGGAGTCTTTGCCCAGGAAGTCGAACTCCACCACGTGTTCCTGTCCGTCCAGACGCCGGTGGAGCGTGATGTGCTCGACACGCAGAGAGCAGCAGCCCACCGTATCAGCTGACTCGTCGTCCTTCTCGTTCCCCGCTCGCAGCGCCAGCTGAACACACACCACCAACACACACCAAGTCTATTAGGGCTATCAAGCAATTCAACGTTTATCTAACTAATTACATGACGGGCCAATCAATTCATCTTAATTCATTGCAAATTAAATCGCACATCAATTTTGGCAGAGAAATCTAAACGAACCATTTTCCATTTCAAATTTCCAAACCTTTCAGTAGACCTTCAAACCATATTTAACATATGTCTTAAGGGTCAATTTTTTGAAATTATGATTTATGATTTAAATAAGCTCTCCATTGATGTATGGTTTGTTAGGATAGCACAATATTTGGCTGAGATACAACTATTTGAAAATCTGGAATCTGAGGGTACAAAAAAAATCTAAATATTGAGAAAATCATCTTTAAAGTTGTCCAAATGAAGTTCTTAGCAATGCATATTACTAATCATAAATTAAGTTTTGATATATTTACGGTAGGAAATTTACAAAATATCTTCATGGAACATGATCTTTACTTAATATCCTAATGAGTTTTGGCATAAAAGAAAAATCTATAATTGTGACCCATACAATGTATTGTTGGCTATTGCTACAAATATCCCCCAGCGACTTAACACTGCTTTTGTGCTCCAGGGACACATTTATACTATTTGGTATATAGTACGCTCATCTGTAAATATTTTGTATTTTCTCAGGAGTTTACTCATTGATTTTCTCGAAGTGACAACATACTGAGCATATATATATATATATATATACACAAACAAAGAAAAACAAGTAGAATAGAAAGCTAGAGTTTTTTTTTTTTTTTTGCCCCTAAAAAAAAAAAAAAAAAAAAAAAACAGACTCTTGCACGCACGAGAAACTTTTCTGCGCCCTTGAGAAACTAATCACACGCACA